TAACAACCAAAAAACCAGCGTTGTCAAAATATGTCTTCGTTGCAGTCTCGAGAATTAGTAACTATTATTTAAAGGGACGGGGGGAGGGGGGCTACGATTGACCCTTTATCCTAGAAAATGATTGATATTTTATCCAAAATAGTCAAATAGGGACATTGTCAAAAGAATTATATATGCAAAAATTGCTGCAATTTTGACAAAAGGTGTAAATGATAGTTTATGTAAATCGTCTTATGTCCCCGGCTTCTCTCTCTCTCTCTTTCTCTTAGAAGATGACATTATTACCAAATCATTGACATTTGGCCCAAAACGTGCGGTTACAACTAGATATTGAGCGTGAACTGAATATTCTGAACAACACAATGCCATTTACAATTTATATGATTATAATTAAATAGATTAAAGTATGCAGGATCCGTTCCCTCGTGGTTGGTGGACTGTCAGTTAGTCATTTTCATAAAATGGTTTTGTGTCCAGCAGCTTTGCTGCATTTTCTTGTTATTGATTGAAATAAGCATCTGTTTGAAGCATGAAGTCAGTGTTTATTGTTGATCGTTTGTCGACGTAATTGAGACTGAGAATAAAAAATCCTTACCAAATATACACTGGTTAAAAATAAAAAAATAGTGCAACTTCCAACAGGATCAGAAAAGATAGAAATGCGCAGCTTGTTGTAAAACGAAGACATACAGTCATCTTTGGAAGCTTTATTTATACAATTGGATTGTTTAGGTCACCTTGCTTATTACGGGCGAAGGGACACTGAGTAGGACGCGAAAAAAACCGTTCATTATACCTTACAGAGTAGAGACAATCAATAATATGAGTGTATATTATGGTGGATAATATAATTTTAAATTGTTGTACACATAATCATCCAGAGCGGCTAATCATTATCACAGTCCCAACCAAGGATGACTTATATGTTATAATAGGTAGAACTTCATGTTTTGAGTAGGAGTTTAAAATATCTGAGCAGAACAAATGTGTGACCAACGTTAGGTCGAATTTGCGTTGGAGTTCAGCATATAAGTATTCATTTAATAATTGTGTAGGGCTAACGGAATATGGGTTTTTCATTCAGTAAGACCGCCATTATATTTTTCTCATTTGAAAGGAGCAGTTAGATATATATTTATCGCTGAATCACACAGTCGTTATTTAGATATGTACTTAACTTTGGGTAAAACAAACAGAATATGCAATATAGTCTCTTCAGACCGAATAATGGAAACAGTGCAATTTATTTTTCAGCAGCTATTTTCACTGCATACTCATCAATTTAGAAATACCCTATGGAAAACAGTGTAAAATAGTCTATATGTATGTGTTTAACTGATCGAATGGTATTATCGTCGGGTCGACCTAGCCGAATATGTTTATCAATGAGTCGAACAAGTCGAAAACATGTTTTGAGCCAAAATAACCGAATATTTGCTTTAAGCCAAACTCACCGAATATACTTCATAAGGTTGAACATAACCAAATGTGGGTCCATTGTCAAGTCGAACGCGATACATACATGTATGTGTATAATGTGGAGATGAAGGGAACACATTTATTTATCGACGATTCAAACTGACCGAATTAGTATACATCTGTAAGTCAAACGGACAGAATACATATCAAACTGACCGAAACGAAATTCATCTCTATGTTAAACGGACCGAATACATATTTATCTCTATGTTAAACTGACCGAATACATATTTATCTCTCTGTTAAACTGACCGAATACATATTTATCTCGATGTCAAACGGACCGAATACATATTTATCTCGATGTCAAACGGACCGAATACATATTTATCTCGATGTCAAACGGACCGAATACATATTTATCTCTCTGTTAAACTGACCGAATACATATTTATCTCTATGTTAAACTGACCGAATACATATTTATCTCGATGTCAAACGGACCGAATACATATTTATCTCTCTGTTAAACTGACCGAATACATATTTATCTCGATGTCAAACGGACCGAATACATATTTATCTCTATGTCAAACTGACCGACCACATATTTATCTCTATGTCACACGGACCGAATACATATTTATCTCTATGTTAAACTGACCGAATACATATTTATCTCTATGTCAAACGGACCGAATACATATTTATCTCTATGTCAAACTGACCGAATACATATTTATCTCTGTGTCGAACTGACCGAATACATATTTATCTCTATGTCAAACTGACCGAATACATATTTATCTCGATGTCAAACGGACCGAATATATACTCATCACTATTTCAAACTGACCGAATACATACTTATCTCTTATGTCGAACTGACCGAATACATATTTATCTCTATGTCAAACTGACCGAATACATATGTATCTCTATGTCAAACTGACCGAATATATACTCATCACTATGTCGAACTGACCGAATATATACTCATCACTATGTCGAACTGACCGAATATGTTTTTATCACTATGTCAAACGGACCGAATACATATTTATCTCTATGTCGAACTGACCAAATATGTAATCATCTCTATGTCGAACTGACCGAATATATACTCATCGATATGTCGAACTGACCAAATATGTGTTTATCGTTGAGACGGACGTTGAGTATATGTCTGCCTGGTCCCACTGGCCGGAGCTGGACTGTCAGTGTGCCGTCACTATTTGGTGTGGACACGACCGGCACTATCTCGCTGTTAGGTCCAGTACAGTTCACTCTAAGTTCACCTGTGTAAGACAAATACTTCATACTTAGCTCACCTGTGTAAGACAAATACTTCATACTTAGCTCACCTGTGTAAGACAAATACTTCATTCTTAGCTCACCTGAGTAAGACAAATACTTCATTCTTAGCTCACCTGTATAAGACAAATATTTCAAACTTAGCTCACCTGTGTAAGACTTACGTTTTATTCTTAACTCACCTGTGTAGGACAGATGCTTCATTCTTAGCTCACCTGTGTGATACAATCAAGCCTTTCACACTCAACTCACGTTTGTGAAATATTAAAAAGGTTCAGCTTCAACACACCCGAGCAAGTCAAACTGTTTACTCTAAACTCACATGTGTGAGAAAAAACCCCGCATTTACCTTGGAATAGCATTTAACAATCAAACTGTTCGCTCTGAACTCACATGTGTAAACAAACTATAGACATATATCAATAGGGGAAATCATAAATAACTTACTCTTACCTGACATGAAAGCTTATAGTGTTGGAAATAGGAAAAAGGCATTCCAATAATAGGTGTCTGAAGTTGAATAATTTCTTAAATTTAACATCTTACACTAGTAGACACTAGATAATTCGCTACTGTTCATGTTGGGACATAATTATGAATCTCTAAATCTAAAAAGAAATATTATAACTGGATTATCTCTAAGGAAAGGTCTTACGAAAAACTACTTTATAAAGGCATTCCAATATTTACTATGGTAAGAAAAACATCTCTTCAAAATGTTATCACCATGCAAACTGTAACAGCTAATTTTGTTAGTACAATTGTAGTATAAATAGCATACCACCAGTACACAATTCATACCACACCTATCGAAATAAATGTCATACATAGTACCACCAGTACACAATTCATACCACAGCTATCGAAATAAATGTCATACATAGTACCACCAGTACACAATTTATACCACACCTATCGATATAAATGTCATAGATAGTACCACCAGTACAGAATTCATACCACACCTATCGATATACATGTCATACATAGTACCACCAGTACACAATTCACACCACACCTATCGATATAAATGTCATCCATATAGTGCCACCAGTACACAATTCATACCACACTTATCGATATAAATGTCATACATAGTACCCCCAGTACACAATTCATCCCACACCTATCGATATAAATGTCATCCATATAGTGCCACCAGTACACAATTCATACCACACCTATCGATATAAATGTCATACATAGTACTACCAGAACACAATTCATACCACACCTATCGATATAAATGTCATACATAGTACCCCCAGTATACAATTCATACCACACCTATCGATATAAATGTCATCCATATAGTGCCACCAGTACACAATTCATACCACACCTATCGATGTAAATGTCATGCATAGTACCACCAATACACAATTCATGCCACACGTATCGATATAAATGTCATACATAGTACCACCAGTACACAATTCATACCACACCTAACGATATAAATGTCATGCATAGTACCACCAATACACAATTCATGCCACACCTATCGATATAAATGTCATACATATAGTACCACCAGTACACAATTCATACAACACCTATCGATATTAATGTCATACATAGTACCACCAGTACACAATTCATACCACACCTATCGATATCAATGTCATATATAGTACCACCAGTACACAATACATAAATCACCTATCGATATAAATGTCATACATATAGTACCACCAGTACACAATACATAAATCACCTATCGATATAAATGTCATACATATAGTACCACCAGTACACAATTCATACAACACCTATCGATATTAATGTCATACATAGTACCACCAGTACACAATTCATACCACATCTATCGATATAAATGTCATATATAGTACCACCACTACACAATTCATACCACACCTATCGATATAAATGTCATACATAGTACCACCAGTACACAATACATACATCACCTATCGATATAAATGTCATACATATTACCACCAGTACACAATTCATACCACATCTATCGATATAAATGTCATATATAGTACCACCAGTACACAATTCATACCAATAAATGTCATACATAGTACCACCAGTACTCAATTCATACCACACCTATCGATATAAATGTCATATATAGTACCACCAGTACACAATACATAAATCACCTATCGATATAAATGTCATACATAGTACCACCATTACACAATTCATACCACACCTATCGATATAAATGTCATACATAGTACCACCATTACACAATTCATACCACACCTACCGATATAAATGTCATACATAGTACCACCAGTACACAATTCATACCCCACCTATCGATATAATTGTCATACATAGTACCACCAGTACACAATTCATACAACACCTATCGATATAAATGTCATACATAGTACCCCCAGTACACAATTCATACCACACCTACCGATATAAATGTCATACATAGTACCACCAGTACACAATTCATACCACACCTATCGATATAATTGTCATACATAGTACCACCAGTACACAATTCATACCACACTTATTGATATAAATGTCATACATAGTACCACCAGTACACAATTCATACCACACCTACCGATATAAATGTCATACATAGTACCACCAAAATAGATTGTCATACTCCTATCCATTATTATATACATATAAAATTACCCTTCAATTATTGTAAGCATTCCTGTTTCATCCAAAGCTAATCGAAAATAATGGTGGGGAACCGGCTAAATACTTTCTACATTAATTCATATTGGTAAAACATATCTGCTACAATCATACAACCGGCACTTACAATACATTCAATAAACTGGTTTAATCGGGAGCCTATTTGGCGAAAACAAAATCGACACTATTGAAATAGTTATTTCTAAAATATCCTGACTAATAGTTTCCATGCACATTGACCAGGTTCCTCGACACAATGGGAGTATAAGGATCGGCGTGACACAGAAACAATCAACACTTACATGGATATACATATATAAGGGGGCGTGGGAGAGTTGTACAATGCATGCGTTGGTACAACACGTATATATAAATACTGAGTCATGCGAGGTCATCAACAATACATATAGCCTCGATTATCACGGGATATACTTACAACTTTCTGTCGAGAAAAATGTAAAATAAAAACCGCACAATCAATGTTAATTAATTACAGGGATTCACAACATTAATCATAAGCAGAGAAGCCAGCGACTCAGCGTGAACTTAAGTAAAAGCATTATACATTGTTTTTCCTTTATGAAAGACATCAACAATAAGGTACTGGATGTTGTACATCATCCCCGGTAAATATAAGATTATGATAGATAACGAGATGAGCTCTTTTCAGCAAGAGTATAAAAAACAATGATAGACAAGAACTATTTAGTTTAACAAAGCAGTTAAATTTCAACGTGTTCAGCCTCAATTAGTAAATACTTCAGTTTGGTGTTTATATGTTAAATTAAGCGTCTAAACATTGATGTGGTGTTTGATGTTTTGTACTCCTGTATAGAATGGTGTCTACATGCCTACAAGCAAACGTTGTATTTGGTTTCAACATACCCGTGGATAGTTTGGCGTAAACACGTTTGTGTTTATATTGGGGTCTATAATACAGTATTTAGTACGGCGCATACATACCCGTATTTAGATTTATATCTGCATACCTGTCTTTAGTTAAGTATCTACATATCACAATCTAGTTTGGTGTTTTATTATCCGCTTCTGTACCCAAGTCTACGTACCCGTCTGTAGTTTTGGGTCTACATATTCGGCTTTAGTTTTCAGTTTACACATCCGTCTCTAGCTTTAAGTCTACGTACCCGCTTCTATTCCTGAGTCTAGACACCCGTCTCTAGCTTTGAGTCTACGTACCCCGCTCTAGTTTGGTGTCTACACACCCGTCTCTAGCTTTGAGTCTACGTACCCGCTTCTATTCCTGAGTCTACACACTCATTTCTAGCTTTTAGTCTACGTACCCGCTTCTATTCCTGAGTCGACACCCCCATCTCTACCTTTGAGTCTACGTACCCGCTTCTATTCCCGAGTCTACACACCCGTCTCTAGCTTTGAGTCTACGTACCCGCTTCTATTCCTGAGTCTACACACCCATTTCTAGCTTTTAGTCTACGTACCCGCTTCTATTCCTGAGTCGACACACCCATCTCTACCTTTGAGTCTACGTACCCGCTTCTATTCCTGAATCGACACACCCGTCTCTAGCTTTGAGTTTACGTACCCGCTTCTATTCCTGGGTCTAGACACCCGTCTCTAGCTTTGAGTCTACGTGCCCCGTTCTAGTTTGGGGTCTACACACCCGTCTCTAGCTTTGAGTCTACGTGCCCCGTTCTAGTTTGGTGTCTACACACCCGTCTCTAGCTTTGAGTCTACATATTCGGCTTTTGTTTTGAATCTACGTACCAGTCTTTATATTTAAGTCTACAAGACCGGCTCTAGATTTGAGTCTACACACCTGTTTCTAACTTCAAGTCTACGTACCAGGCTCTAGTTTTTATTCTATATCTTGTACGTACTCGGCTCTAGTATGGTGTCTTCGTATCCGGCTCTAGAAATTAAAGGGTTCTACGTATCCGGCTCTAGTAATTAAAGGGTTCTCCGTATCCGGCTCTAGTAATTAAATGAGTCTACGTATCCGGCTCTAGTAATTAAATGAGTCTACGTATCCGGCTCTAGTAATTAACAGGTTCTACGTATCCGGCTCTAGTAATTGAAGGTGTCTACGTATCCGGCTCTAGCAATTAAAGGTGTCTACGTGTCCGGCTCTAGTAATTAAAGGGTCCTACGTATCCGGCTCTACTAATTAAAGGTGTCTACGTATCCGGCTCTAGAAATTAAAGGGGTCTACGTATCCGGCTCTAGTAATTGAAGGTGTCTACGTATCCGGCTCTAGAAATTAAAGGGGTCTACGTATCCGGCTCTAGTAATGAAAGGGTTCTAGGTATCCGGCTCTAGTAATTGAAGGTGTCTACGTATCCGGCTCTAGAAATTAAGGGGTTCTACGTATCCGGCTGTAGTAATTAAAGGGTTCTACGTATCCGTCTCTAGTAATTAAAGGGTTCTACGTATCTGGCTCTAGTAATTAAAGGGGTCTACGTATCCGGCTCTAGTAATTTAAGGTGTCTACGTATCCGGCTCTAGCAATTAAAGGGTTCTACGTATCCGGATCTAGTAATTAAAGGGTTCTACGTATGCGGCTCTAGTAATTAAAGGTGTCTACGTATCCGGCTCTAGTAATTAAATGTGTCTACGTATCCGGCTCTAGTAATTAAAGGTTCTACGTATCCGGCTCTAGTAATTAAAGGTTCTACGTATCCGGCTCTAGTAATTAAAAGGTTCTACGTATCCGGCTCTAGAAATTAAAGGGTTCTACGTATCCGGCTGTAGTTCTGAGTCTATATACCCGGCTCCAATTTGGGTGTCTTCGTAACCGACCCTAGTTAGGGGTCTACTTACCCGGTTCTAGTTTGGTGGTGTCGATGCTGACGACGATAGGCCTCCCTACTACTCCTTCTCGGATACTAATAGGGTCTATTTGCGGGGGTTCCTTGTTTATGTGGACACTCTCTGTCACACTGGTACGGATACTGGGAGGCCTGTGTTCCGGCGTCCGGTGGACATTCACTTTTAGTGGACAGCATTTCAGAGGATGTTTATTCCAACTTATATTTAGAAGGTAGGCGCCTGGTTCCTGTATCAAACAAAATAAAACATTCGATAATTGTATAAATCTTTGTTTATCTTTCCTAATGTTACATCAGTAAATGGTATGTTTTATGTTTTATCGGTTAAGAAAGACGAATTGCTACGGAGCACATATATTGACTCGGGTAGTAGGAAGACGTCGAATGTCTAGTATGTTTTACCTTGGTGTATAGAACATTTGTATTGACTCGGGTAGTAGGAAGACGTCGAATGTCTAGTATGTTTTACCTTGGTGTATAGAACATTTGTATTGACTCGGGTAGTAGGAAGACGTCGAATGTCTAGTATGTTTTACCTTGGTGTATAGAACATTTGTATTGACTCGGGTAGTAGGAAGACGTCGAATGTCTAGTATGTTTTACCTTGGTGTATAGAACATTTGTATTGACTCGGGTAGTAGGAAGACGTCGAATGTCTAGTATGTTTTACCTTGGTGTATAGAACATTTGTATTGACTCGGGTAGTAGGAAGACGTCGAATGTCTAGTATGTTTTACCTTGGTGTATAGAACATTTGTATTGACTCGGGTAGTAGGAAGACGTCGAATGTCTAGTATGTTTTACCTTGGTGTATAGAACATTTGTATTGACTCGGGTAGTAGGAAGACGTCGAATGTCTAGTATGTTTTACCTTGGTGTATAGAACATTTGTATTGACTCGGGTAGTAGGAAGACGTCGAATGTCTAGTATGTTTTACCTTGGTGTATAGAACATTTGTATTGACTCGGGTAGTAGGAAGACGTCGAATGTCTAGTATGTTTTACCTTGGTGTATAGAACATTTGTATTGACTCGGGTAGTAGGAAGACGTCGAATGTCTAGTATGTTTTACCTTGGTGTATAGAACATTTGTATTGACTCGGGTAGTAGGAAGACGTCGAATGTCTAGTATGTTTTACCTTGGTGTATAGAACATTTGTATTGACTCGGGTAGTAGGAAGACGTCGAATGTCTAGTATGTTTTACCTTGGTGTATAGAACATTTGTATTGACTCGGGTAGTAGGAAGACGTCGAATGTCTAGTATGTTTTACCTTGGTGTATAGAACATTTGTATTGACTCGGGTAGTAGGAAGACGTCGAATGTCTAGTATGTTTTACCTTGGTGTATAGAACATTTGTATTGACTCGGGTAGTAGGAAGACGTCGAATGTCTAGTATGTTTTACCTTGGTGTATAGAACATTTGTATTGACTCGGGTAGTAGGAAGACGTCGAATGTCTAGTATGTTTTACCTTGGTGTATAGAACATTTGTATTGACTCGGGTAGTAGGAAGACGTCGAATGTCTAGTATGTTTTACCTTGGTGTATAGAACATTTGTATTGACTCGGGTAGTAGGAAGACGTCGAATGTCTAGTATGTTTTACCTTGGTGTATAGAACATTTGTATTGACTCGGGTAGTAGGAAGACGTCGAATGTCTAGTATGTTTTACCTTGGTGTATAGAACATTTGTATTGACTCGGGTAGTAGGAAGACGTCGAATGTCTAGTATGTTTTACCTTGGTGTATAGAACATTTGTATTGACTCGGGTAGTAGGAAGACGTCGAATGTCTAGTATGTTTTACCTTGGTGTATAGAACATTTGTATTGACTCGGGTAGTAGGAAGACGTCGAATGTCTAGTATGTTTTACCTTGGTGTATAGAACATTTGTATTGACTCGGGTAGTAGGAAGACGTCGAATGTCTAGTATGTTTTACCTTGGTGTATAGAACATTTGTATTGACTCGGGTAGTAGGAAGACGTCGAATGTCTAGTATGTTTTACCTTGGTGTATAGAACATTTGTATTGACTCGGGTAGTAGGAAGACGTCGAATGTCTAGTATGTTTTACCTTGGTGTATAGAACATTTGTATTGACTCGGGTAGTAGGAAGACGTCGAATGTCTAGTATGTTTTACCTTGGTGTATAGAACATTTGTATTGACTCGGGTAGTAGGAAGACGTCGAATGTCTAGTATGTTTTACCTTGGTGTATAGAACATTTGTATTGACTCGGGTAGTAGGAAGACGTCGAATGTCTAGTATGTTTTACCTTGGTGTATAGAACATTTGTATTGACTCGGGTAGTAGGAAGACGTCGAATGTCTAGTATGTTTTACCTTGGTGTATAGAACATTTGTATTGACTCGGGTAGTAGGAAGACGTCGAATGTCTAGTATGTTTTACCTTGGTGTATAGAACATTTGTATTGACTCGGGTAGTAGGAAGACGTCGAATGTCTAGTATGTTTTACCTTGGTGTATAGAACATTTGTATTGACTCGGGTAGTAGGAAGACGTCGAATGTCTAGTATGTTTTACCTTGGTGTATAGAACATTTGTATTGACTCGGGTAGTAGGAAGACGTCGAATGTCTAGTATGTTTTACCTTGGTGTATAGAACATTTGTATTGACTCGGGTAGTAGGAAGACGTCGAATGTCTAGTATGTTTTACCTTGGTGTATAGAACATTTGTATTGACTCGGGTAGTAGGAAGACGTCGAATGTCTAGTATGTTTTACCTTGGTGTATAGAACATTTGTATTGACTCGGGTAGTAGGAAGACGTCGAATGTCTAGTATGTTTTACCTTGGTGTATAGAACATTTGTATTGACTCGGGTAGTAGGAAGACGTCGAATGTCTAGTATGTTTTACCTTGGTGTATAGAACATTTGTATTGACTCGGGTAGTAGGAAGACGTCGAATGTCTAGTATGTTTTACCTTGGTGTATAGAACATTTGTATTGACTCGGGTAGTAGGAAGACGTCGAATGTCTAGTATGTTTTACCTTGGTGTATAGAACATTTGTATTGACTCGGGTAGTAGGAAGACGTCGAATGTCTAGTATGTTTTACCTTGGTGTATAGAACATTTGTATTGACTCGGGTAGTAGGAAGACGTCGAATGTCTAGTATGTTTTACCTTGGTGTATAGAACATTTGTATTGACTCGGGTAGTAGGAAGACGTCGAATGTCTAGTATGTTTTACCTTGGTGTATAGAACATTTGTATTGACTCGGGTAGTAGGAAGACGTCGAATGTCTAGTATGTTTTACCTTGGTGTATAGAACATTTGTATTGACTCGGGTAGTAGGAAGACGTCGAATGTCTAGTATGTTTTACCTTGGTGTATAGAACATTTGTATTGACTCGGGTAGTAGGAAGACGTCGAATGTCTAGTATGTTTTACCTTGGTGTATAGAACATTTGTATTGACTCGGGTAGTAGGAAGACGTCGAATGTCTAGTATGTTTTACCTTGGTGTATAGAACATTTGTATTGACTCGGGTAGTAGGAAGACGTCGAATGTCTAGTATGTTTTACCTTGGTGTATAGAACATTTGTATTGACTCGGGTAGTAGGAAGACGTCGAATGTCTAGTATGTTTTACCTTGGTGTATAGAACATTTGTATTGACTCGGGTAGTAGGAAGACGTCGAATGTCTAGTATGTTTTACCTTGGTGTATAGAACATTTGTATTGACTCGGGTAGTAGGAAGACGTCGAATGTCTAGTATGTTTTACCTTGGTGTATAGAACATTTGTATTGACTCGGGTAGTAGGAAGACGTCGAATGTCTAGTATGTTTTACCTTGGTGTATAGAACATTTGTATTGACTCGGGTAGTAGGAAGACGTCGAATGTCTAGTATGTTTTACCTTGGTGTATAGAACATTTGTATTGACTCGGGTAGTAGGAAGACGTCGAATGTCTAGTATGTTTTACCTTGGTGTATATAACATTTGTATTGACTCGGGTAGTAGGAAGACGTCGAATGTCTAGTATGTTTTACCTTGGTGTATATAACATTTGTATTGACTTGGGTAGTAGGAAGACGTCGAATGTCTAGTATGTTTTACCTTGGTGTATATAACATTTGTATTGACTTGGGTAGTAGGAAGACGTCGAATGTCTTGTATGTTTTACCTTGGTGTATATAACATTTGTATTGACTCGGGTAGTAGGAAGACGTCGAATGTCTAGTATTTTTTACCATGGTGTATCGAACATTTGTATTGCGTGTGGTGTTTAAAATACACAGATTCCATATGGTGGATACACACGTGCATTACCTGTGGTGTGTAAAAGCAAGTGTAGTACTGGGGTCCGGTAGGACGGGCATCGACATGTATTTCATGGTTGACGCTGCTTAGGAGTACATCGGGAGTACCTGAAGATAAGAACGTGAAACGTCACCATATCATATTGATATCACACACTGAAATAAGCAATAATGACATCCATGACACACCATAATACCAATCAATCAATGTTTTATTATAGTGTCACGCATCATTAAATTCACAAACAATCATTCATAAAATATCATATACAGCGAGTTTATAAAAGATGCCCGGACGATATCGGCTTATGAGACACTTGTAACTATTTGTATGTACATCATGTGTAAAATGAAACTGAAGACCTAGCATATATGTATAAAATATATCCTCATAGTGTATTACATGTAAAAAAACCCTGATAGAATCACATACCTTTCTTCATCACATTACATTACAGCTAAATCAATATTGCGATACATTATAATTTACAATTGTATATTAACACATTTAAAAGCGACCGCCTCCGTCCCATCATAAAATGAATTGTTTTAGAAAGTGAAAATTGAAGCGCATTATCCTGCAATAAACAAAACAACTTTTCAGTTGAAGTAAGTTCATTATAATAAATAAAGGAGTTCATTGCGTTTTTGAATCGATCCTATCCTATCCTATCAATATACACAGGACAGTCACAAAGGAAATGCGACTCATATTCCACTATATTTAAGCAGAAAGGGCATTTCATTTGCTCTACTGGCAAGTTACTGTAGCGTCCAGTTTCCAACATTAAGGGGAGACAACCGAGTCTGAGTTTAGCGATTAGGCTCCGATAGTGACGTGGTATAAGTGACGTTATATAATGTTCCGTCAACTTGTCCTTTTTATATCTTCTGTATGGTCTTAGTTTACTGCTTGAAATTGTGTCGCTCATAATTACGAGAACCAAAAAGTTTCGTCATTCCTGTTAATGTAACCGGTAATTGTACGTAGTTTGGTTTTAACAGATACGTGAGTGTTAAGTATATTTGATACCTTAAGTTGGTTTCCTAAATTGCGGACACGCCCTTCCCACGAGTTCCTTCTCCTAGATGACCAGATATACACCTTATGTAGAAGCCTATCTGTATCCACATTTTTTTAGTCTATAGCAAAGTCTAAAAACTTCTTTGTGTTGTTTTGCCCGACAAGATGACCATCCAAAATCTCCAAGGACACCAGTATTGGAAGTATATTTATTCACTCCAAGAAACGCTTTCATTGCTCGGTTTTGAATGTTGTTGATTAAGCGTTGTTCCGCTTTACCCCAAATACAAGAGCCGTATAACATAATTGGTTGTACTAATGACTCAAAAAGACTGGTATATACGGAGTATGACATTCCGCCACTGGCGATAAATTTACTAATTAAAACTCCAAGTGCACGACTGGCTGATTTCGCTAATTCCTGCACAGCAAAATTCCATGTAAGATGTTGATCAAACCAGATCCCAAGGTATTTATATTTATCTTTGATGACGATCGGAGTGTTGTCCAAAGAGAAGCTAGCGTTGGTTAAAGGTACAGAAGAATGACGGAAGTGAATCATGTTCGACTTACTGTGGTTCACCAATGATTTCATTTTTTTACACCATGATCGAACATAATCAATTTGACGCTGCAGTTTATCCGGAGTTGAAGCGAGGAGTACAATATCGTCAGCATAGAAGAGCGAAGAAATATTAAAATCATCAACATTCATTCCACTGTCTATATCACGAAGTTCTTTTATAAGATCATTGATGAATATAGAAAAAGGTATTGGTGAAGCCAAACAGCCCTGTTTTAATCCCCTTCCGACGCTGAACCAATCAGTGAGACGATCCTTTACTTTAATACAGCATTTTCGTCATCATACAGGGACTTGATAGCCTAAATCATATAACCGTTCACTCCGACAGGTTTCAGTTTTATCCATAGAATACCTAACAGTTACACTCACCTTTCGGAGCATTCGTGCCGTCGATGTAGAACACAGTGGGCTTTCCTACCCAGGCTTCTTTCAGTCCCGGACCCGTCAGCACCACTTTAGGAGACATGTATGGAAACTTAGGGCCATTGTCAACTTTGTAGGAGGGAGGACGGGAAGAGCGCGAGCTCATACTCGGACTTGTGGGGACGTACACTGCTGATATCCGGGGACCCCCTACTCCGGACTCGTCGTCGGTCACCGTCGTACTGGACCGTAGGCTGGCTGTAAAACAAGATTATCTTACAGTAATTGTGTGGTGATTAGGCACCTGTCTATGACCCTGGCTGTTGTCTCTTTAGGCACCTGTCTATGACCCTGGCTGTTGCAAGGATGTTAAAAACAAAGCAATGGTTCGTCATCAAACTAGATAATGTTTGTAAAACATGAACGACTCCGCCGTCCTGTGAAATTATTTTCAGTGTTTAATAATGTTCTATGAGTTATAACAACGACTTTGGTCTTCACAACCTGAAATATGTACGCATTCAAGGTAATCTTACAATAGTATGCATCAAGTAAATAAATAGCGAAATATCGAGAGAAAAAATCTATGAATAGCAACTTATCCGTGGTACATTTCCCACCAAATTCCATCAGCAAAATCAGTTGTAGACTGATGACTAAATTGGTAAATGATTTTCTATAAATAGCAATAGTGGCCTTGATCTTGACCAGGTGCCCTTGATCTGTCAAATTTCATCATCGGACATGACATCATCGAAAGGATAGAGAACGTTCAAAGAAGATCTATAAAATTTCTACCCGGATTTAAGACTGTTAGCTAAAGCGAGAGGCTATGCCGTTTGAAGCTTCCAACCTTAACATACAGGCGCTTGCGCGGAGACATGATAAACATAATTAAGTTTATGATCCAAATTTGGTGAAGGGCTTGTTTGATCTCGTCGCTAAAGGAAAAACTCGTGGACACAGTAAAAAATAAAACAACACTGTCATTTAGATATTAGATAACATTATTTTACTCATAGAATAATTGATATCTGGAATAGTCTCCCACAAGATGATATTTAATCTCGTAACGTATTTTAATTTGAGGAAAGATCTTGAGTTGAAGTATGATCCTACAGCGTTTAATATAAAGACTTTTTTTATGTTTACCACAGTGTATTTCAAATTATATTCATGTGGATATAGCGGCAACAATGCCTGCGTCCACTAATATCCTATTAAATCCTATAAGATCATGTTCCGCTACTTTTAATCAAGCTGACCCAAGGTACCATAGGGATAAAGGCATCGCTTCATTTTATTTTACTTTGTTTTACCGTATCATAAAATGGCATCGTAGCCAAGCCAGTCTTACTTTTATTGTATTCGTAAATCATATGGACGCTAATACTATTGACATGACTTATTCATACTTACGTTGGTGTTTTAGGATATGGAGGCGAGGGTTTGGAGGGTAGCCAACGTCCGATCTGTGACGTAATACAGTTATCCTCGGGGGTTTCCGATTAGAGTCGGAACTAGTGTAGCTCGGAATCTTCCGGACAGCACGTCTTTTCCTCTTTCGGGGATCGTTATTGTTGGACGAGTCGCTGTCACTGCTGAACCATAGAACACATCAACTTACCAACCTAGTACTATTGACGAACACGCGCCGATCTACCTTCCTTACATTCAATTGGTTTAGTATGATATCTGGCATTTTATAGTCCCGAGATAGTACACCTTCTCGTTGCAATAAACCCAGCATCACCCCCGTAGATCCTCGAACCAGACACGCACAACCTTACGCATACAAACACACATCTGCTTCAAAGGTCACCTACAAATATTCATTCCTCCCACACACAATAACACAATGGAATCGCCTTCCCACAGCAGCAGTACAATGCACAACACTTAAGGACTTCAAGGCACAACGCACAACACTTGAGGACTTCAAGGCACACGTAACCTATGCAGCCCTTGAAGCCCTCACACGCTAGTACATACTCCGGCACACTCGCCAGCTTTTATCTTTAATCTTTTACCCTACACAAAAAAATCCAAAACACTAATCACTGTAAATAATCCCTCATTCACGCCTCTGTGCACAGGTAACGATGGCACAATCGTAAGCATTGATGGAGCCTCCGTATATATAAGAAGAAAAGAAGAAGAACATCGACACGAAAGGATATTATTATTTACCTGGTCCCATCCGGATTGTTGAGTACGATGATGGACTGGAATGAAGGCTGTTCGTCTACGACGCCCTCTGGCTGGCGCGTGGCAAACCCTAGGTAGGGGGTGTTTGGCAGGGCAAGGCCACACCACCGCACGTCTATGTAATGTTTGCCTGTCACATGTCAGAAATCATATACTCAATTTGTTCGAGGTATAGAAGTTGCTTATCAATCTTAATTTAATTTTTATAATGTATCGTGAATAAAGCATTAATTTATGTTCCAAAAGAAATATGTTCTTCAATGAAAATAAAATCCTCAAAAAAGTGAACTAAATGGACTTTATAGTAATCCTTAGTAATACGAAGTAACGAAGCATATATTTAAAACCCAAGTCTTTGAGAAAGTCAGATTGTGATGTGATCATACCATGGTATTAATGCGTAATATTTGATTGTTTTCATCACTCAGCAAAAGAAGTAAATACCTTCTTCCTTCGGAGTAAAAACAAGAATATGTTTTCCAGATCCTCTTGAATCTACGGCGGTTGGAACCTTGAAGCTCGGACCGTGTATATCTGCAGTTAACTCCCCTGGACCAGCTTCGCTAGCGTCAAACGGTATCTGTTTCTCCTTGTTGACGATTAAAGGTATGCGTTCTCTGTCGTCCACCAGGGGGCGCCATCCTCCCGACACGCGCACTCTTGACGGACACACAATCCGCGGTTTGAAGGGACTCTCTGTTCAACATGAAAGTTAAATTAACAGGTCGCCCAATGTTGTTGATAACACATATTTACATTTGAATGGCATTGTCACTATATATAGCTGTGTCGTTGATGGGACTTTAATTACCATGCAGCATGAGACACAATTCTTAGCGTATTAATACAACACTGACCGGAACTACATTATCCAATGTAAATAAACATGACGGCTGTTGAAATATCGCTGGGCATTGTGAGACTTGACAATGTAATTGTAAATTTACGTTTAAAAGAAAAAAGAAAATATATATAAAAAAACTTTTATTACAACAAAAACAAGACCAATGTCTGCAATATCGTACACAAATGCACATCGTTTGAAATCACCAATGCCGGCAATGGAAACAATTTTTTAACAATCATGCAATTTATCAGAAATATCGTCTGTTACACTGCACTGATCAATAGGGGTTCATTACAAATGTCTGAAATACACATATTCGATAGACCTACTGCCACATATGTTACCGACCTACTGATATGAGTCACACACATAACTGAACATTTCAGACATTTGTAACGAACCCTGTGCTCTGTCGCAAGATCACTCACTTCAAACGTATCAGTATCACGCGTCTCACAGCCACGGTTTCCTCAGTTTCTGACGACATGTCAAATAACGAGGATGTGGTAGAAACTACCGACTGTAATCAGATTGCCATGCAATCGACATAAAAAAATTACGCCTGGATTGTTCACAAATTCCAACTTTTCTCTCTGCTAATTTTAACTTCCAAAAATAACTCCCTCGTGGAGGTCAAGGTCGGATTCACGGTGTTCACTGTATTTATTTATCCATGCCAGAAAATTGTTCCCGGGAAAAATCGGAACAATTTAAAATCTAATTTTCAGCTCAGATTTCTATTGATAAACTTAAATCAATGTTAAAATTTCAAAGTACTTATTTCTTTGCTAATCAGCACGCGACAATACGATGTTCAAATTATTGAACGAAATTGTGTGGACTGTCGATAAGGCGGGCATTTTTAAGTTTAAATATAAATTATAAGTTAAAAAAGAACATAAGAGGCAGAGAAAACGTAAATATAAGTATTGAACTGTTTTTGTATGGTATTTATCGCGCATTATGATTTGTCTGCTTGCAAAGCTGTGTCATTCAAATAGATCATACATACCATACAAAAACAGTTCAATGCTTAAATATATTACTCTTTCGTCAAGACGTTTCCCACCTATCCATCATTTCCGATACATTGACACCCGAGTTCACCGTATCCTTAACATCGTTAAGGTAGAACATAACGTTGAAAACAGTATTAGTTGATAAGCATGCAGGCCAGAGGTGGAACAGGGGATTGTCCTATTACCTTTAGTACTTTAGCTGAGTAATAACCGTTGCAGAAATAATGCAATATAGCCTTACCAGCCATTCAACACAATAAATTCGAAAGGGTCGCACCAAAGACCAGGGATGGAATAAATGGTAGGTGTGCCAGTAAAGGGTCGCACGATAGACAAGGGATGGAATAAATGGTAGGTGTGCCAGTAAAGGGCTACAGGAGTACCTAATTATATGAAGGAGAATATTCCAGTTGTACAGTTGTGCAACATATCACTTTTGCTTTCAGAATAGCCTCTTGAGAGAAGACACGAAAGCAAACTAATGATTCTGCAAGGGACTTCCCATTTGATAAACAACAGGTGCTATTCCAGTTTGAACATGATTACAGATTGAAGTTAGGTTCCGTCAGGGCATACTAGTATACAATAAGAATACAATTATCTGTTCTGGATATATTATCCTTCCGATCAATGCTGCCAATTTATGCATGTCATGGATACTGAATTTTCCACGCAGCAAAACTTAAAACCAATGAAAGGGCACAGGGCTTATCTCCTAAAAAGTGTACTTTTAAGGGAGCATACGGATCACTGTCAATTTAGGACAGGTTATTTTTTGACATCGGCCTATTAGCGGTGACATATTAGAGTCTACTCACTGTCTATGTCCTATGAGCGGTGACATATTAGAGTCTACTCACTGTTTATGTCCTATTAGCGGTGACATATTAGAGTTTACTCACTGTCTATGTCCTATTAGCGGTGGCATATTAGAGTCTACTCACTGTCTATGTTCATTAGCGGTGACATATTAGATTCTACTCACTGTCTATGTCCTATTAGCGGGGACACATTAGAGTCTACTCACTGTCTATGTCCTATGAGCGGTGACATATTAGAGTCTACTCACTGCCTATGTCCTATTAGCGGTGACATATTAGAGTCTTCTCACTGTCTATGTCCTATTAGCGGTGACATATTCGAGTCTACTCACTGTCTATGTCCTATTAGGGGTGACATATTAGAGTCTACTCACTGTCTATGGCCTATTAGCGGTGACATATTAGAGTCTACTTACGGTCTATGTCCTATTAGCGGCGACATATTAGAGTCTACTCACTGTCTATGGCCTATTAGCGGTGACATATTAGAGTCTGTTCACTGTCTATGTCCTATTAGCGGTGACGTATTCGAGTCTACTCACTGTCTATGTCCTATTAGGGGTGACATATTAGAGTCTACTCACTGTCTATGGCCTATTAGCGGTGACATATTAGAGTCTACCTGTCAATTTAGGACAGGTTATTTTTTGACACCGGCCTATTAGCGGTGACATATTAGAGTCTACTCCCTGTCTATTTCCTATTAGCGGTGACGTATTGGAGTCTATTCACTGTCTATGTCCTATTAGCGGTGACATATTCGAGTCCACTCACTGTCTATGTCCTATTAGCGGTGAAATATTAGAGTCTGTTCACTGTCTATGTCCTATTAGCGGTGACATATTAAAGTCTACTCACTGTCTATGTCCTATTAGCCGTGACGTATTAGAGTCTACTCACTGTCTATGTTCATTAGCGGTGACATAATAGAGTCTACTCACTGTCTATGTCCTATTAGCGTTGACATATTAGAGAGTCTACTCACTGTCTATGTCCTATTAGCAGTGACATATTAGAGTCTACTCTCTGTCTGTGTCCTATTAGCGGTGACATATTAGAGTCTACTTACGGTCTATGTCCTATTAGCGGCGACATATTAGAGTCTACTCACTGTCTATGTTCATTAGCGGTGACATATTAGAGGCTACTCACTGTCTATGTCCTATTAGCGGTGGCATATTAGAGTCTACTCACTGTCTATGTTCATTAGCGGTGACATATTAGAGTCTTCTCACTGTCTATGTCCTATTAGCGGTGACGTATCAGAGTCTACTCACTGTCTATGTCCTATTAGCGCTGACATATTAGAGTCTACTCACTGTCTATTTCCTATTAGCCTCCTAAAAAGTGTACTTTTAAGGGAGCATACGGATCACTGCCAATTTAGGACAGGTTATTTTTTGACATCGGCCTATTAGCGGTGACATATTAGAGTCTACTCATGGTCTATGTCCTATTACCGGTGACATATTAGAGTCTACTCACTGTCCATTTCCTATTAGCGGTGACGTATTAGAGTCTACTCACTGTCTATGTCCTATTAGCGGTGACATATTAGAGTCTACTCACTGTCTATTTCCTATTAGCGGTGACGTATTAGAGTCTATTCACTGTCTATGTCCTATTAGCGGTGACGTATTAGAGTCTACTCACTGTCTATGTCCTATTAGCGGTGACATATTAGAGTCTACTCACTGTCTATGTCCTATTAGCGGTGACATATTAGAGTCTACTCATGGTCTATGTCCTATTACCGGTGACATATTAGAGTCTACTCACTGTCTATGTCCTATTAGCGGAGACATATTAGAGTCTACTCACTGTCTATGTCCTATCAGCGGTGACATATTAGAGTCTACTCACTGTCTATGTCCTATTACCGGTGACATATTAGAGTCTATTCACTGTCTATGTCCTATTAGCGGTGACATATTAGAGTCTCCTCACTGTCTATGTTCATTAGCGGTGACATATTAGAGTCTACTCACTGTCTATGTCCTATTAGCGGTGACATATTAGAGTCTACTCACTGTCTATGTCCCTGCCATCCATTCGGATGTTAATGCGGTGGACACCAACATCTGTCGGATAGTAAACAACAGTGTGTGTTCCGTCTTCTTCCGGTGTAGTTGTGCACTGTACCGGGTGGTTAGGACCTGTAACAAAGTAGTACCTTTATCAGGTGTATGTGTTGGCATACAGATATGTGTTGGCATACAGATATGTGTTGGTATACAGATATGTGTTGGCATACAGATATGTTTTGGTATAGATATGTGTCGGTAAACATATATGTGTTGGCATACATATATGTGTTGGCATACAGATAAATGTATGTGTTGGCTTACAGATATGTGTTGGTATACAGATATGTGTTGGTATTCATATATGTGTTGATATACATATATGTTTTGGTATACAGATATATGTTGGTATCCAGATATGCCTTGGTTTGGATTTGGTTTTATTTTGCTTAACGTCCTTTCGGCAGCTTACGTGGTTTATGGACGTGCCCTCATGTATGTTGTATATGCGTGAATGTGTGTTTGTGTTCAGGAGTCGGGGTATATTGGTATAATTTCCTCCTTGTGACAGCGCTGATCTGATGCCGACTTTATAGTGCCATCTCACTAAAATACCATGCCAAAGGCACCCAGCACAGCATTCCGCCCGGTCATATAAGGCTGACTACGGGTGAACCAGTTGTTAACATTTCCCTCAATGCTGAACATTTAGCACGGAATAACAACTACCATTTTAACGGCCTTTAGTATACTTCGGCCGGAGGACAAAACCCACTGCCTTCCTCACCTGGTCAAACATTCAACATTAAGCCAAAAATGAGGCGTTGCCAAGCACGGCGCTCTGAGGGAAAAGGTCGTTAGAATTAGAAGGAAATCCCCAATGTAGAGGTTTACATATATGTGTTGATGTTCTATCATTTGATGATGCTAATGAAGAGACAGTCATTCATATTTATATATCAAGATACTGTCCTTTGCCTAACATGACTTACCAGTTATGATCACAGACAGATCCCCCGAAAATCCTCGGGCGTCTACATTAAATTTCGCTGGAGAATCTTTCATCCCCATTAAAAGTCCTTCACCTGTGGCTTTGGGTGACGTCAGCTCGTCTATCTCCTGTATGAACGGTGACCCTGACACAACATGATGTACGTAAGTTATGACGGAAATGAAGCAAATAGACGAACTTCGGTACAAGCGGTCTACTACTAAGTCCCATACAGCGTTACACAGATCACCTAGTGGAAACGTAACCTTCGTCCCTTTTCAATGTGACGATGAATAGCCTGGACCACATTGGCCAATTAGACAAATGAGAATTGGTTTCAAGCACCGAAATGTACTGGTGAATGATAATAAAAAATATTCCCTCAAAGAAACAAATTATTTAGTCGTTGTCAATGAGTAATACAACGGATTCTTTTGTCCTGCTTTTTTTTTTATTTAACGACACTTTTACATCTGTATCTTGTTTAAAACGATTTAACAGTTCTGATTTTAGACACATGTAAACGTAATAGAAATAACCACTTCCACTCGATTCATATTGTCCTTGTTTTCCATCTAAGACAACGACCTACCTTTGACGCTGACGCCGTCATACACCACGAACACTTTGTAAAGTCCCGGACCACGTGGTCGGAACACTATCCGAAACACATCGGGCTTTTCCTCCTTTATTTCAGCAGGGAATCTGAAGCCATTGTGCAATACCTCAGCCTCCAGTCGTCCATTTGGGGCGTTGGTACAGTCAGCTAAATTGGAATAGATATTTCGGACAATAATTATGGAAGTAAACTTAATAGGACTAACAACCGTGACTATATATTGATATTCATGATGTAAACAAATTACAGTGATCAAAGAACGATATTTTTACATATTATCAATTGTGTCGTATTTCAACACAAACATGCAATGAATTGACTATAACAGATATGTAAGGTTAATTTGTTAAATTAAATCGTAAAATATTACTTAAGATTCGTTGTAAGTATATGTAGTTGATGTGTAGTTTATAGCATTGGGGATCTCGTTTGACCTATGACATGGGGGATCAATACTGACCTATCAAAGGAGGGATCAATACTTACCTATCAGACCTATAACATGGGGATCAATACTGACCTATCAGATGAGGGATCAATACTGACCTATCAGATGAGAGATCAATACTGACCTATCAGATGAGGGATCAACACTGACCTATCAAAGGAGGGATCAATACTTACCTATCAGACCTATAACATGGGGATCAATACTGACCTATCAGATGAGGGATCAATACTGACCTATCAGATGAGAGATCAATACTGACCTATCAGATGAGGGATCAACACTGACCTATCAAAGGAGGGATCAATACTTACCTATCAGACCTATAACATGGGGATCAATACTGACCTATCAGATGAGGGATCAATACTGACCTATCAGATGAGAGATCAACACTGATCTATCAGATGAGTAATCAATACTGACCTATCAGATGAGGGATCGATACTGACCTATCAGATGGGGGATTAATACTGACCTATCAGATGAGGGATCGATACTGACCTATCAGATGAGGGATCAATACTGACCTATCAGATGAGGAATCAATACTGACCTATCAGATGGGGGATTAATACTGACCTATCAGATGAGGGATCAATACTGACCTATCAGATGAGGAATCAATACTGACCTATCAGATGGGGGTTAATACTGACATATCAGATGAGTAATCAATACTGATCTATCAGATGAGGAATCAATACTGACCTATCAGATGAGGGATCGATACTGACCTATCAGATGAGGGATCAACACTGACCTATCAGATGAGGGATCAATACTGACCTATCAGATGAGGGATCAATACTGACCTATCAGATGAGGGATCAATACTGACCTATCAGATGAGGGATCAATACTGACCTATCAGATGGGGGATTAATACTGACATATCAGATGAGTAATCAATACTGATCTATCAGATGAGGAATCAATACTGACCTATCAGATGAGGGATCGATACTGACCTATCAGATGAGGGATCAACACTGACCTATCAGATGAGGGATCAATACTGACCTATCAGATGAGGAATCAATACTGACCTATCAGATGGGGGATCAATACTGACCTATCAGATGGGGGATCAATACTGACCTATCAGATGGGGGATCAATACTGACCTATCAGATGGGGGATCAATACTGACCTATCAGATGGGGGATCAATACTGACCTATCAGATGGGGGATCAATACTGACCTATCAGATGAGGGATCAATACTGACCTATCAGATGAGGGATCAATACTGACCTATCAGATGAGGGATCAATACTGACCTATCAGATGGGGGATTAATACTGACCTATCAGATGGGGGATCAATACTGACCTATCAGATGAGGAATCAATACTGACCTATCAGATGAGGAATCAATACTGACCTATCAGATGATGGATCAATACTGACCTATCAGATGGGGGATTAATACTGACCTATCAGATGAGGAATCAATACTGACCTATCAGATGATGGATCAATACTGACCTATCAGATGGGGGATTAATACTGACCTATCAGATGAGTAATCAATACTGACCTATCAGATGAGGAATCAACACTGACCTATCAGATGAGGAATCAATACTGACTTATCAGATGGGGGATTAATACTGACCTATCAGATGAGGAATCAACACTGACCTATCAGATCAGTAATTAAATAGTGACCTATCAGATGATGGATCAATCCTGACCTTTCAGCTGATGGATCAATACAGACCTATCATATGAGGGATCGATACTGACCTATCAGATGGGGGATGAATACTGACCTATCAGATGAGTAATAAATACTGACCTATCAGATGCGTAATTAAATACTGACCTATCAGATCAGTAATTAAATAGTGACCTATCAGATGAGTAATCAATACTGACCTATCTGATGAGGAATCAATACTGCCTTATCAGATGGGCGATTAATACTGACCTATCAGATGATGGATCAATCCTGACCTTTCAGATGATGGATCAATACAGACCTATCATATGAGGGATCAATACTTACCTATCAGATGAGGGATCAATACTGACCTATCAGATGAGGGATCGATACTGTCCTATCAGATGAGTAATCAATCCTGACCTATCAGATGAGGGATTGATACTGACCTATCAGATGAGGGATCAATACTGACCTATCAGATGAGTAATTAAATACTGACCTATCAGATGAGATATCAATACTTACCTAACAGATGAGGGATCGATACTGACCTACCAGATGAGTAATCAATCCTGACCTATCAGATGAGGGATCGATACTGACCTATCAGATGAGGGATCAATACTGACCTATCAGATGAGGGATCGATACTGACCTATCAGATGAGTAATCAATCCTGACCTATCAGATGGAGGATCAACACTGACCTATCAGATGAGGGATCAATACTGACCTATCAGATGAGGGATCAATACTGACCTATTAGATGAGTAATCAATACTGACCTATCAGATGAGTAATCAATACAGACATATCAGATGAGGGATCAATACTGACCTATAGCTTGCTCAATACTGACCTATCAGATGAGTAATCAATACTGACCTATCAGATGAGGGGTCGCACACACAGTGCCGTCCTGCATGCTGTATACTTTGACATCACTTGTGTTTGTCATGTTGACCTCAATTGGTCCCCCGGTGACGTAGTCTATCTGCCAATCACCTGTAATTAGTTCAATTTACCCTTTTATAGCTGTACAAAAAGATCAAACAGTACTTATAATGTGACCATAGCGTTATCAATACAGTACCGTACAGTTCTGATCATGGGATCGGTTGACTTGTTGCAACGATTATTCTCTCTGGACCTTTCAGTCATAGATCTGACCATGTGTCATATGTCAACAAACATACATAGTTTCCCAGTACGGGATTTCACTTTCGAAACAATAGTTATAGTTTGAACTTTTTCTTTTCTGGAAAGTACTGTCCCTGTTTCTCCCGCCTAGAGCCTTTACGTTTCGAAATTGATTATATACCCATTGTTCGGATTGCTATTAATCTCGTGATCGATGGCGTACACTGGCAGTCAAAGCTTAAAACATTCAAGTGAAACATTGTACATGTATATGAGGGTCAATATGGTCATCATCGTGATCAAACTGGAAAAATAATATCCTTGCGCGGACAAATATCGACGATTTTGATTATGCTCAGTTGTAAATAGTGATAGCTATTATTATTCTCTTTATTTAGAAAATGTCACCTTTTACTACAAGAGCCTCAGACTTAACTTTTGGAAATGTTCCTCTTAGTTTGAAACTAGTTTCGTAAGATCTTGCAGATAAGATAGATTATTACACACCAAAACCATTTACAAAAAAGTACTTATAACGGACTGATGAAAGTATTTCTTCGGATAAAGTATCTTGGAGAATTTGAACATTAATCATGACGTCATCTTAGATACGATGGAGCCGTAAAGTAACTCACACGCGGTCCTCACTGTCTTTGTGAGTCCACCCTCGTCTTCTGTGATGTCAGTCTCGAATACGGCCCTCCTATGCATCCCGTCGCTGCCCTCCCCAATCACAAAGTCGGCTTCTGCCAAACAAAGACGCAATATATTGATCAGTTAGGAAATGTTTAACTATCATCCGTTTCCTCAAAACAATTTTAAATAGGTTCATGAAAATTACTTTTAGATATAACATATAAATATAATTTCAACCGGTTGACGGTTTAGGAATTAGGATGAAATTATTTTCTCTTTGGTATGAGAGTAGCCAATAGGTGGCTCTAGTCGTGCTACAGGTGTTCGCACGTGCTGAGATAGTGTATATACGTGTCATTCAGGCGACACAGGTAAAGCCGTGCACACGTGAATTTTTTGTTGTTGTTATTTATAAATAAGTAGGGTAGGAGTGATGATTGTGTGTGAGATGTACACTTACACTGTTGTGTTGCTGTTTTTTGATGATTATATGTAAATAAATATCAGTCAGTGCCTATGTCGCTGGGAAATACAAGATTTTGTATTTGTGTTATTATTCCTATTGGATAATAATTTAGGAGAGAACATATAAAATGAGAATGTGGTATTACATAACACTGAACGCGTTTATGCATTTTGTGAAAAAAATGTAACAATATTGTAAGCTTTAGGGCGCTAAAACTATTCTTTTTATTTTCAAAGTTTTTCATACTCATTGACAAAATGAGATTTTATTAGTAAGTTATTTTTTGTAATTTTCTATTTATCAAGATTTTTTTGCAATATATGGTATAGTTACATTCAAACAATTCATATTATATATTCAGACCTCACACGACTCATATATACTCTTACTTACATCAGTTGATATATTAGACACAAGTACATGTAATGGTAACCATGTACACATATATTGCCTTTATGAGAACAAGGAGAGAGAGAGAGAATAGAAAAGAAGTAGAGGGGAAAAAAATAGCAATGCAAAACGGAGAAAGTCAACAGAAAGAGGAAAAAAAGGAGAAACTGGCTTTTGCACTGCAGCTCAATACTAAACAAACTTCATGTTTAGAATAAGATTATAAGATAATCTTCTGTATTAATTGTAAGTAAGGTGCTTTAGGCTTTAAACTGCAAGTAAATACAGCCATATAAAGGTGGCTGAGAAATGAGGGTAATACTCAGGACAAAATATATTTATATCAGAAAAGAGATTAACTTTAATAAGTTCAGATAACTTAAATTCACAAAAAAGGGACAAAAAAGAAATTTGGAGTTCAGGCAAGATTCAATACAGGTATGGTAAAAGGGACATAACTGCCAAAAAAAGGCCCTGTGAAAACTTAGTGCGTGCTGGCTACATGTATGGCATCAGTGTATTTTCAAAATATAAAATGAGAACTATACTGTGGGAGGAGATGTATTGTATCTGCTGACTTGATGATATTAAATTATTTAATTTTGGCTTATAATTCCAGGAGGTGGTTTCATTTTTTCCATCCTCTTTCCAGTTTTCTTACAAAATTATCCCCTTTGCAACATGCTAAATATTTTTGTACAGAATGATGGTCTTTTATGCTGTTAATTAAAGCATTTACTGACAAAGTGTTTTGAAGGCATCTTGTTTTATAAATATGTTGTTTGATCATAATTAAAATTTCATTATCTAGTCTGTTGCCTATTCCTGACTGTGACACTATTCCGAAAAGGAAGGATTCCTTATTAAAAGAAAATGGGATAATTAAAGCTTCTAGTTATGTTTCAAAACTGTGTAGGAAATTTTGTACAATGGCACACTCCCATCATGTATGAATTATTGTTTCCCTATCTAGATTACAAAAAACACATAAAGGATTATTAGAGAGGCCAGCTTTGCATAGATATATATTTTTTGTCAAATTATGATGGAGAATTCTTACTTGGAGCCACTGGAGTTTTGTATTAGTAGTTGTGCGAAATGGAATTTAATATATATTCTCCCATTTGTTGTCCCTAATGTCAAATATTTCTCCCCATTTCTTCCTACCAGTTGGAATAATCTTATTTTCAGAAAGTATTACATAAAAGTCATTAGCTCATTTGGTGTTTTTGTAAAAAAAAAATCCAAATTAAGGGGAATCATTGGATACACTAAGCCTACAGTGGTATTATGCCCAATATTGTTTTGATTAATATATCCTCTAAGAGCTGACAGAATACCATAATACTGCAGAAAGTTTGTGTTTATATTGTATTTGTTATTAAATTCATCATGTGTATAAAATGTATGTGTGGGGGATTGTTTTATTAAATCATTAAAAATAGTAATTCCACATCTATACCATTCAGGATAAAATACACACTTCTTATTTATAGTTAAACTTTTATTATACCATAAAGGCAATTTTAAAAACGATTGTCCCTTTTCCCTTACAAGATCTTCCTTATAAGAAAGTCTACTCCATGCTTTAAATACATCTTTCCAGAACAAATTTGTGCTTGTATTTTGGCATATAGATATATATTTATAATCACAGTTAAAGAGAAGATCAATATTGATATATGTTTTTAATATCTCCTGCCAATTGCCTTGTTTTTGGAGAAGCCTCCTTATCCAACTTAATTTTAAAGATTCTATAAATGACAATAAGTGTACCATCTTAAGACCTCCATCTCTATCATTTTTAACAACAACATCTCTCTTTATTTTATCAACCTTACCATTCCAAAGAAATCCATAAAGGATACAATTGAGTTTATAAAGAAATTTGTCACTGGGATTTGGTAAAGAAATAAACAAGTGATTAAATTGGGATACCATTAATGACTTTATGACATGTATTTTACCAATAGGTGTAAGAGATCTTCTTTTCCATGAGTTAATAATAGATTTAAGCTTAACAAGGTGTTTTTTTTATCAAAGTTTAGTTTGGGTATCCTATGTAGGTCTACATGAAATTCTACTCCAGCTAAAACTATTCATATTAGGATTTTGATTTCACATTTTGTACAGTAACATTCCTTACCCCGGATTTCGGCGGAATTGAAGCTGACCTTCATCCTGTGAACACCCTGATACAATGGCGTATATTTAGCCTGGAACACGTTGGGTTCAGTCTGGGAGATATAACAGGGTACGCTTCCACGTTTGTGGTTGATTTGAACCTCGACCTCTCCGGATCCAGCCTTCCGACAGTCCACTGTAATAAACAAAACGTGTCAACCTATAAAATTTAGGTTTATGTCCATGAAACAATATCCTTCCAATCCCATTTCTGACTGCCGGATGATAACGCGCAAGGGAAGATAACGTATGATTGTTTATTAAATGCTTCCTAACTACGTTTTTTAGTGATAATTATACAGGAAATCACTTAAGTTCAACCTATGCGAGCCTTAGATTGTCATACACAACAAAAGATATCCTGGACAACTAAACAGATTATACAGAGCATCGCACTCAACAGGCCGTATCTTCTGAACCTCAATGTAAAACATAACTATAAGGTTGAACCAGGACCACTACCTCACGTACGAAACTAAGTGGATATTAACAAAGAGGGTCTCGAAATGAAGATACAAAGGGAGACAACTCCTTCAGGAAACGACAACCAGTCAATATATATTTACACCAATAAAGGTCCATGTGGTATTATCAACCGTGGAAGTACGTAATCTACTGAACGTGATTTAGAAAAAAAATCAAAAACACAGTTCGTAAAGAACGAGAGAAAAGACTGTAATACATCTAACAACATCATATATAGTACAATCGTCTTTCTAGGGGAATTAAAATGTCTTACCGTTAAAGGTCTGTGGTCTACTAACAATGCCCTGTTTGATGCCGCTGACCTTGACTTGAGACGGGTCACTGACTTCTATGGGACACGAATTCACCAGTCTTCCGTTGATAAATACCTTGATATTCCATTCACCTGTAAAAAATATTGGAAACTTATTGCATGAATTTTATCATATTTGTAAGTAAATCCAGCGTCTCAAATAGTGTACAGTAGGTTTTCAATTGTCATAGCCTGCCATATCAAAATGTCACGTCCAATAACCTAGAAACTCAATTTCATAATCGTGATGTCTGTTGAATGCTAGACTATGGACGAAATCAGTGAAATCAATGAGGACAACCGTTCTCAATGGCGAAAATTAACATGGCATCTGTTACATATTCAAATATTGACATTGAACAACTTAACAAGTGTTAACATGACTCCTGCTTTACTTGACCCATACATAACATAGATTCAACCTTCATGACAAGTTTATAGTTGACGGAATTTCTGTAAACGATATCTTTAAACTATAACTTAAACGGTGTTAACAGCTTTGTTGTAATTTTACGTACCCTCCTTCGGTACAATCTAGATTTGCGATATTGATCAGCATACTGTAAATATGTACTGTTATTTGATGGTGTATAAAACATTGACTGTAGTCCAGGGGCTTGTTCGTTTATGCGGAACAACCGGTTTGACCGTTTATAAATGTAACAATTTCGGGTATAGATCCTGGCAGACCTGCAAATGTTTATGTAGGCCTCGCAAATCTTTGTCAAGGCTCGTCTGAAAGCAGCATCAGGTTACTAGGTCCGACCTTATTTAATAAACGAACAACTGTGGTCCAACCGCTTTGACCGTTTAAACGAAAACGGACCAGATCATTGATGTAGCTTATGCTGACTTCAGCGCAGATGCTATTTCTGGCGAATAGATATCTTGTCTAGTTTAACACTTGACTTTGATGCAGATCTGCATTCAAATGATGAATCATTGGCTTAGTTCGAAATAATTAGAATGAAGGTTCAAAGAACTTGAACTTTTCATCGTTTTTACTTCGCCATGTTTACCAACCTTCCCTTTCCTTTGTATTACTATTCAAACCTTAACTGCGTATATAATGTGAAGGTTATAGTTGATGCTAAACCAAGTATAATTCACCACGGGATAAACGTGTCATTTTAACAAATTCAATACATAGCTTTGGTTGTCTACAGGCGAAGCGTAAAGGTTCTAATGTGTAAACTACTACTAAGGATTTGATGGAAACCAGCAGTTTCATTTCACGCCAACGTTATCTTCAGAAAACAAATATAAGGCACCCTTCTGAATCAGCAAACGGTGAGATCTGTTCTAGACATGTTTTACTGTTTACTGGGGGTTTTGTTTTCTGGTTTTGCTGTAAATACTAGTACAGGTTTAGGATCAATTTTAATGGGTCTTTGTTTATAAATTCTCACATTCGTCATCTCGGTACAATCTGTCTGAAAGGCGACCGATGTGGGAATGTCCTGCAGTACCGGGGATTTGCCAATTACGATATTTCGGACCTGCTTCTTTAAGATCCGTGCATGGTGATATCACGATCAGATATGTTAAATTATAGAATATCTGTTCTCCTGGCACTTAGGACACTGGGTCCTGGCATCGTTTAACGGTTTTTGGAGGGTCCGAAGAAATCAAAGTCGACGTTAAACTTTTGCACAACGGTTTGGAAAGGGGGGCTGTCCGGCGAATACTACACGTAATCGGTGTTACGTCAACTGGACAAGTGTCGGTAACCACTCTGGCCTGAACACTGATAATTTCGTTCAGCTGGTCACCACAAATGGTCTGGCCGCCTCACACACACACTCATGTATGGATATACTGCACCAACAAAAGTATCGTGCGTCAACGCTACTGTGCATTCTCGTTGCGATACGTCCATACGGATTCCAACACCATTAGGATCGTACGAGAATATGCATGTCACCCAGCCAACAACAGCTGGTGACTTAAAGTCAACTTTTCGCTCGGTCAAGAACAAATCGGGAAACTAATATTCTTGCGTTAACAGAAACCTGATGAGGTTCACATATCGATGACCAGGTATTAGCTGAGCTTATAAATAGGATAGAAGTTCCTACGCAATGCTAGACTCAACAGACGTGGTGGCGTGGTTGCTGTTTTGTTTCAGAAAGGTCTAAGTGTGAGACATATCTCTCCCAACCATGCTGAATTTATATACTCACTCGGAGCACATTACTTGTTCTATCATTGCTTGTAATAAAATATCCAGATTGTGTATCATTCTCTGCCATCTAAACAGAACGATTGTTTCAAAACTTTGTTGCATTATGAGTGGTTTACCGTTTTATACAACCAGCTAGTTGTACAAGAGATTGTTATTTCGGGTAACACAAATTTCCACTTAGACGATCTATTTTAAGATAATGATTGTCAGTTCTCATGGCTACTCCATTCCCGTGGTCTGATACAACATGTGACAGAAGCTAAACACACTACATGTTGTCATTACAAAGGAAGCTAACTAGGGAAGACATTTCAGTGATGGATCCCTGTCTAAGTAAATGTTAAGGGGAACCAATCTGGTCACCTTCTTGTCAAGCAACACTGACTTGTATTAAGCCAGATCATGCAAGGAAGTAGGTCATTTTCTGGACATATTCCGCGAACTTTCCACACCAGATTTCATCAATGATATTCAGTCTTCTTCTGCTCCTTAATCAACTGAAGGTGGATCTGATGATCTTGTTGAAGCATGCTTATAGAGAAACATGCACCTCTACAGACGTAGGTGACAATTGTGAGACCGAATGCCCGAGATATAATGGAAATCTCCGAGTGGACGAACAGAACCGTAGAACAGTGGAGAGACGGTTGCGAAAGACTAAATAAAGCGTTCACCAACAGATTTATAGAGAAGAATGCCGGGAAGGCAGATCACCAAACCCTTATTGGTCGTAAAGGGGAAATCATATTACCAAGGTATCCTTCGATACAAAGTTCACTGATCACTTTGTTGGAGAACCATTGATAAAGCTCTCACCAACAAACTAAGACGCCTTGCACAATATCATCATGACTTCGCAATCAAACTCTGGTGAGCTGGACCGCTTCCCGCATGTTAGACCACTGCTGGAAAAGCATGGAATAGACAAGGAGGAGTTGGAGAACTACCGACCAGTATCAAATCTACCTTTTCTGTTAAGGTTAAGGTTAGGGTTAACCCTAAGATCTTGTAGAAGACTGTGTTCCTGCATTTAGGCATTGTGGAAATCCTTCACTGTTTGGTGCTCATCCAATCGTAACTTCGTCTTTTTGTAAAATAACTGTCCTAATAATCGTTTTTGAGAGACAATGAAAGTTGTATTAAATATGAACACTGTTTCTTACCTATCTCATCGGCGGCGAAGTGGGCGTGGTAACATCCGTCCCCTGTCATCCTGATGATACGTCCTGTAGGAGACAGCGCCTCGACCCGGACCTCATCCTTACTTATGATATCGTGGTGCTACAACAATTGAAAATGTGACGTCAAAACATGGTGTTACTACTACGAAAGCGAAAATATTAATAGTAATCCACGAAAATCAGGCAAAGTAACACGCAAAAGAACGATGAGGATAGAATATTCGTTTAACCTGTACATTTACCGTGTTACATGTGCATATACCGTGTTACATGTACATACACCGTGTTACATGTACATACACCGTGTTACATGTACATCTACCGTGTTACATGTACATATACCGTGTTACATGTACATATACCGTGTTACATGTACATATACCGTGTTACATGTACATACACCGTGTTACATGAGTTACATGTACACACACCGTGTTATATGTACATCTACCGTGTTACATGTACTGTGTTACATCTACCGTGTTACATGTACTGTGTTACATCTACCGTGTTGCATGTACACTTACTGTGTTGCATACATGTTTTTTGCCTGGTTGTTGCTGGGGTTTTTTTCGTTTTTTTCTTCTGACCACTGTATTATTTCCTCTACAGTTCTACAATTCCCTACCACAAAACTCACCTTCTCCGTGATGATGACCCCGACAGAGAACGTCTCTATTTTGACGCCATTGTCGGCCAAAAGTTCCTTCTTTGTGGCAGCACGGAGTGAAGGTCGCCGGACAAAGTTGAAAGTTTTCTCAGGTTTGTCGCCCGTTGTGGCGTTCATCAGACTGTAGATCCTTTGCATGTCACTTCTGTCCCCATGATGCGGTTGCGCAGTCTTGACGCTGTGCGGAAACAGGCAAGATACTATCATATATTGAAACTATTCTAGTTTCGAATGATACGCATTTCGGGATGTATTTGTACTTGGTGTACTTCAAGAACGTCCAACAAAGACCCAACAGACTCGATTACCTCGACTGTATATCCTGACAGTTGCCTACGGTACGACAGTATACAAACAGTTCCACAGGGCTTCCCCCTACCGAGGGATGGTAGTTTTGACTGTTCCCCAAATAACCATGAAACAATTGTTTTATTACCAAATAAATATTAGTATCAATGCTGCATGCAATGTTGCCATTGCTTCAACACTGAGTCGCGGGCACCGAAACGCTTGAAGGGGGCTCTCAAGGGGAGATTTCTGCGCATCGAATTCGCGCCGGGGAACAGTTCGCTCTGACCGGGAAAACAGTTTTGACTGTTTCACCCCTACAGCCGAAATTGGACAAAAAACCAGAAACAGTCAAAAATGACTAGTTATAATTTATATAGACTATTGGGTAATAATAATGGTTACCTCACTACCTTACGGTCTGATTTCCCACGTGTTCGAGTCTCAGGGTTATGGTCCTGTCAGTAACATACAGACCAGATCACTGTTACTAGGGAATAAGAGGAGTACTGGTCCTGTCAGTAGCGTATAAGTGGTATACTCGTATAGACCGTGACACTATTACTTACTAGTACGACGGGTCTGGGTCCCGTTGTCGGTGGTGCCGGACTGTAACCGTCTGCTTAGGGTTGGCGTACAGTGCTTTGACGGGCTGAGGGTCTATGGTATACACCTTGTGTTCGGGTTCCGGATTAACCGTGTAGGTCCTTATAGCCGGCTCCATGTCCTTGGAGTACACAACCTTTGTGGTGGTTTCCTTATTTATCACATGCGTAGAGGTCCGGTGACCGGTCGGGACAGGCGGGAGGGGTATTGGATACATCTGTCGTAAGGAGGGACGCTTTTCCAGAACAACAACCTGTAGGCAGTCATAATGATAACCAGGGTAAATATAGCATACGATAAAATCATATTCAGACCATGTAAATAAACAGAACAATCACACGTAGAAGGTGATAAAACTTGTCATTATAACGCGACCGGTTTTATAATGCAAACAACCCATCTTGTTTTTAATCAATGCTTGTACTGTAATTAGGACATCATGTATTTTGAAGATTCTTAGAAATGAAATCATATCTATTTGATGCATGATTGTAACTAACATACGAACTTAAAACTGTGTATGACAGACCTGTTGCTGCTGGTGTACAGTGTCACTGTACAGTCTGTTGGCGACCGGACTTAGATTGAGAAATCGTGCAGCATATGCCATGATGCCGAGGTGTTCAGACTCCTCCTCCGCCATATCGGCGGCCGGCACCACCGGGTCCACATTCAGTTGCTGCCCACCGTGGATACCTTCGAATTCAAGACACGTACGTTACTTCCAGTTTACGAAACCTCTCAAATACACCTATGATTGATCATGATTTTCTCCAGGAAAAAATTTCATTCGGTTGGAACACGCTGTATTTGAGTGTTTACGGTGTAACTACCTTTTTTTAGATAACCATTCTTCGTCTAAAATGTAAGTCTTATCGTTAAAGCTGTTACTTTATCAAAAAATTCTTTGCTGGAAACGTGAAGCGTTACTTTCGGGCAGTATCTACATGTAGGTAGGTATAGTACATGTGTCTAATTACCTTGTTCTTACAAGTTATTTACTGGAGACGTTACCATAAGGCCTTGCTTAGTGTTTAATTACGATGCTGTAAAAGATGTATTCTTGAGATTTTACACTCGAACAGTAACCAACGAAAAACTATCTTGCTGTAACAGGTCTATACCGGAAACGTTACCTCCCGGCAGTAAACACTATACACATTGTAAGTTTCAAAGTTTCTCGCAGTTATCGTGCCACTTTTTTGGTATATCAATGAGGTTGACGTCAGCCTCGTGCCGAAACATGAAGTGTTGGTTAGTTTAGCGAAAATAATTGCTGCCATTCCAGCCAATCAAACGACGGTCTCGGCACGTGGCTGACGTCAACCTCATTAATATAAAAAAAAAAGTGGCACGATGACTAAGAAAAACTGAAACTGTGAAATGGCGTTTGTTTTTGGAGGAAAAGGAAATCATGTCCGTGAAAGGAGAATACATTTTACATGCATATAGGATGTTTAAAAAAAAGAATTTATCCATCTTTCTAACGGTACTAAGCATTTTCCCGTAGATCATCTAGAAATGTTGTTTTTGATGCAAGAAAGCAAGATGGTGTCGACTTTTTGACATCGAGAGCTTTCCTCCCTTCTCGTATTTATGATCATTGGGGTGTCATTTTTACCGAGAGTCGATCTAAAATTACTCTTAACCTCTTAGTTTAGGTCCAAATATAGCTGTAACAAATGCTCAGGTCCCTCTGATATATACTCGAGATTTTACCATCTGACAGTAACTAGCGTATAGTTTATCGTACAAGGTTATATCACGTTTTACTTCAGAAGCAACAAGGGATAAAGCCAGTAGTTAGTAAAGTTACCTTGCTGTAATAGGTCTATATTGGAGGCATTACCCTCCGGCCAGCTAGGAATGGCGGCTCCCAGATTGGTGACGAGTTCGCAAAGAACGCGGCCGTCGTTCCAGTCCGTCTGTGGATATAGATATAGATATAGTGAGTATGAATACCATAATTTACATTTATATTTACTATTGATCGCAAAACAGCTGGAAGACTTAGTTTACTGACAAATCACAAGTATTACAATGTACTTACTCAACGTTAGGTGCGTTGTTCGCCAGGTATATTTTTTGAGTACGACTGAGAAATGGAGTATTATATAACCGATCTGTGTGATAACGCCTGGGTACCGTGAGTAACAAACAAGCGAGGCAGTTACAACACCTATAATTCAGCATTGTACATATAAACTACGACAGCAATTTGTCCGACGATCATTCTACATTTGTATATATGCTTTTCAATTCAATTTAATTCAACTTTATTCCACATTTCATCAAAACAAGAATGTATTTTTTGGATCGAACTGCAAATAATCAGAACGCATACAAAACAAGGCAAAAATACCACCCTCTTGTCTACAAAACACAATAATACCGCCCTCTTGTCCATTTATCTACGCAAAGCAATAATACCGCCCTCTTGTCTATTTATCTACACAAAACAATAATACCACCCTCTTGTCCATTTATCTACACAAAAACATAATACCACCCTCTTGTCCATTTATCTACACAAGACAATAATACCGCCCTCTTGTCCATTTATCTACACAAAACAAAAATACCACCCTCTTGTCCATTTATCTACAAAAGACAATAATACTACCCTCTTGTCCATTTATCTACAAAAGACAATAATACCGCCCTCTTGTCCATTTATCTACACAAAGCAATAATACCGTCCTCTTGTCTATTTATCTACACAAAACAATAATACCACCCTCTTGTCCATTTATCTACACAAAACAATAATACAACCTCTTGTCCATTTATCTACCCAAGACCATACTACTGCCCTCTTGTACATTTATCTACACAAGACCATAATACCGCCCTATTGTCACTATAAAAGACAATTATAGCCAACCCTTGAGTAATTTACCCATTTTTCACTCCTGCCAATATAAATAGCTTCAAGGTGGATTTTATGTTTAATACAAAACAATAACCGTTTGAATATAGGGCATATAACTTGCCATTCCGCGCCTGTGTAACCGTGATGTAAATTTATCCCGGCTGGTTTATATTGTGAGCATAGTGTATACATTGTCTCACTTTAAACCCCGGTTCGTTAACCGTTGTTACGCCTACTCGGAGAAGACTCTAATGTATTATACATATGTCAATACTCATATGTCCTTATAATAGGAAGGAAGTAGTGAAAGAAAGTGAAAGAAAGCCACCCCCGACTCTCCGGTCGCTCACGAAACTGCTTTGCTGCAGCGAAATTTCCTCTAACTATATCTGCAGCGAACATAGGGTGGGTTTAACACTATATATAGGGCACATATTTTATAGCGACAATGTAATATTGATATCGTCTATTACAAATGTATCATTCAGTTAACTATTCTTCATGTACCTAACAGCTATTGATAATGATATTTACAATCTGCACTGACTCTCACTCAATAACCATTGTTCCCGTAAACTGGAGTCATAACCTGACGTTAGAACGTGACAAGTTTCCATGACGTCGGCACTAATATATGTGGACGGAGTTTTGCCAATTTTTCGAAAATTAGACACACTGTCATTAAAAGTAGAAGTAGGCGGTGTAAATCAAGGCTCATTAACAGTAAAGGTAGGTGGTGTAAATCAAGGATCATTAACAGTAGAAGTAGGCGGTGTAAATCAAGGCTCATTAACAGTAGAAGTAGGCGGTGTAAATCAAGGCTCATTAACAGTAGAAGTAGGCGGTGTAAATCAAGGCTCAT